TATTCTGTGGACGAGGCAGCTCATGTGTGCAATCTAAACCCCCTGAACCTGCCACAATCTCTGTAGGCTCAAAGAACACTGAAGCTGCAAGCCCGACTTCATTGAATGGACTTTGAAGGCGGGAACTCAAAAGATACGACTGTTGAAAAGAAATCAATTTGATGCCTCTGCACCCACAAAAAGCGACATCAATTGGACAGAAAACATCACTATGTACCCGGGCGAGGTTCTTGTCTTGAAGAATGAGGACGTGTGGTCGTTCCCGAGCTCCCATGCACAAATCGAAGGATGTGGAGAGTTGGTGATGGATGTGGTGATCAATCAATATTGTCCCAAAAGATTTATTTAATTTACAGAATCCTGGAGGGGGGGGGGGAGGCACCCCCTCCAGGATTTAGGTTTATTCAAGTGATGCAGAATAAACTGTGTCTGCTTTAGGTTGACCGAACTGATGGGGTCCTGACAGGTGCCTCGGCATGTTGCCGAAATATTTCCCCAGAATAAATTTACCTTACAGGAAGTCACCCAATGGCACTGCTACAAATATACAGATATAACAGAATTTTTAGTCTCCCAGATGTCAGATTCTAGAATGCCAAAAAAAATTAAGACAGGGCGACTTCCCGTAAGCATTAAATATTCGTAGGGAATATATTTACAATTTCCGCCGTGATGCCGGAGGACCTGTCAGAACACCAGTCCAATCACCCCAAAACGGCCCAGATATAATCTCCCATCAGGCGAAATATTGCAAATCTAGACGGGGGGTAGGGACCCCCTGAATAGACTTTTCAACGGTGGATTATCCCGTTTCAGACTCAAATGATTGATGATCACTCTTCATCACTTCCGTCACAAACTCTCCCACCCTTACTCCCACCGTCATGCTGCCATACAACAACTTTCAGACTTGTAAACATGCCTGATCACAAGTTGAAGTGGAGCCTTCTCCCCGACCCATCTGCCATTTTTCTGGACCATTTTAAGCCTAATTTGGACCCTCGGGGTCATTCGCACAATTGCAGGCGCAATGCTTCTCCGCATCGCCTTCTCCACATGAGACACTGGGAAAACACTCCGGTGAGATGCAGTGTACAGAGTTGGCCAAACCTGCTTGTTCTGGTTGAATAAATGTATTATTTTCTTGTGGGAAACACGAACGATGTTAAAAGGCTCGAATATCCGGTCCATCAACCCCATCGCTGGCCCTCAAAAGGGTCCGGAAATTGGGCTGGATTATTTAATTCTTACGGGAAGTCACCCACAGTCGAATTTTTTTCCTGGTACCGACTTAGGGACCAGGTCTACCCGGAGAAATTTCCAATGTCCAATCGTGTGGAATAATCCGAATCCCTTTTACAGATGTCCGGTGATGTCGGGGACCTCCGGTCTAGACCTTTCTGCTTCAGGCCTCTCTTCACAATAATTCTCAAAACCTGATCGTGCAGCTAGTTCCGATACCCAAGGCCTAGACCTTTCCATTTCTGGCTCTTCACGACAATTCTCAAAACCTGATCGTGCGGCTAGCTCCGAGAGCATGGGCCTAGACCTTTATACAACCGAAAATTGACACGGTTACTTCGAAAGGTTTGATTATGCGATGTTTGAGTGCTGTGGCCTCCACGGCATTTATCTCTCCGGGACCAAGCCTCATTATATGCACAAATTACGGTCATGATGTACATGCATATCTTATGCAGAAATTGTCACCAATGATGTGAACACTTGCAAATTGTCACTCGGATATGAGCTGGAATTCTAGCCCATTACCTGATTCCAATATCCTACTGCAAGCGAGGGAGGCGAGTCGACCAAGGCACAAGGCCGGGCGAGACTTGTGAGTGAGCTGTCCAGTTGTCTGAGTAGTGTTAAATGTTCAGAGAGGAACAGACCACTGTACAAGGGAGGTGCCAGGAATGCCCGGAGGGCCTTATGAATATAGCTATCTGGACAGAATTTTATAAACTGAAGAAAACCCGTGAGAATGTATAATGGGTGACTTCCCATAAGCATAGATAAATGCTGGGGGAATATCTAAGTGCTTTGCCGAGGCAGCTGTCGGGACCCCACCAACGTTGGGACGTGAAAATGTACAAGATTTAATGTGAATCCATTCCTATCTATTCAAATCTGTAGGGGGCACCTACCCCCTCCAAACAGATTTTATTAAACGGAAGAAACTGCATTAGGCAGGTGGTGGGTGATCTTGCCCTCGACTTGATGCGTAAACTTCCAAATTGGTCACCTGCTCCCAGAGCACCAGTATGCCCGACGTCAGGGTTGTGTTCCGGCCCTCGCACAGGGAGAAACACAAAAAGTTAATCCACAACACAAATTTTCCGCAGATTGATCCCATCGTTGGCACTCTCAAACAAGTCAGATATTCTTTTATGCTTATGGGAAGTCACTCAATGCACCGGCGGGGAGTCGAATCCCAGGCTCAATCAAGATGTTTCTTTCATTACGAAGGAATAGATTATGGGTACCGTACACCACCGGTGCTTTTCCCTCCTTCATTTAATCCTGCATTTATGCTGCCAGAAATATGCCCTATAATACACTATGAGAATGGGGGAGCCAACGTGGAGCAGAACAACAGACAAAAATAAGGATCCTTCAAAGAAAAATGGGAAACCACAACGGATATGCACTGGCAGGGAATTGAACCCTGGACTCAATCTGCTACTGTGATTGCCTGGCAAAGTACGGAGCGATTGGGTGTACTGTACACCACCGGTGCTCTTCCTCCCTGCATTTCATCCTCAATTTACCAGACACATACAACAACAGCACTCGTGACACTAAATCATCTCAAGATTCAGTCAGAGGCTGATCTCAAGCTTGTTGCCCAAAGGTGATCTTGGAATGCATATGACAGTCAATAACTCATGGGTGTTCACCCCTTAGAGGATTGAGGTATTAGAAAGGAAGACAAAAGGAACCCAAAAAAAACTCTACAACCGACAACATGTACCGGTGGGGAGTGAACCCCAGACTCAATCTTCATTCTTGCGAATGATATATTTACAAGTAAATTGTGTGTACGGTACACCACCGGTGCTCTCCCTCTCTGCATCTTATCCTCAATTTACACCGTAAAAAATATGTGTGGTCTTTTTTGAACCCATTATTGATGCACCCGTTGATGCTATACGGTAGTCTTCTCGACATCTCCCACGCACATTTCAGCAGATCCCACCTCCAGAATCTGGCGAATGCTGGAGGAAAATTGAACTGTCAAAGAAAGAAGCAAAAGCTTTCTGCTCCCAATCCATGCACTGGTGGGGCGTCGAACCCCGACTCCATCATATTACGTTGTGCCGTAGCTAACCATGAATAGATTGTGCGCACCATACACCACCCGTAGTCTTGTGTTTACCGCAGGGGTCCGATCGACTAGCTCCGTTATTACGCAATCTCAGAGTTTGAATTCAAGTCGCGTACACTTTTTCATACAGAACTGCTTGTTCCATGATATTTTGACATAAAATGGGTTGCCTGAGCTGTGCCTCAATTTCTGTCTCCTCAGAATTTAAAAATTTGGCTAATAATCCGTTGTGCAAAAAGCGCGACTCAGTCACGTGTTATTTCGACGTCCATTCTGAAAATACTCAAAACTTCCTCAAAATGAACGGTGAAAATTGGCAAATTTATATATGAGGTATCTACGCGCATTATATGAAGGTTTCAGGTCAAGGGAGGGATAGAAGGCCCAAATACCAGCATTCGAGCATTTACCCACTAATATTCAAACTCCGCGATTGCGTAATAACACCACTAGTCGATCGGACCCCCGTGGTAAACAACAAGCGAGGCACGAGCTCATTTGTTGAAGCATCTGTCCACGAGAGACTACACCACCCGGTGCTTTTCCCCCTCACTTCTCTCCTCCCTTTACCACACAAAAAAATGCTTGTTCTTGGATGATGCACCCACTGTTAGTGAGTTTTCCGCTATAGACTCAAATCAAATCACATCTCTCAAAGAGAATTCAGCAGATCATTCTGCAAAGTTTATTAGAATGCGGGACAAACTTGAACTCCTAACGAAATAAACAAAAGAATTGATGGCTTTGCTAATGCACCAGCGGGGAGTCGAACCCCAGACTCATTCATTTATAGATCCCCGGTCTTGACCAAATAATTAATGACTGCGTGTACCGTACACCACCGTTGCTTTTCCTTCTAACTTTCCTCTCCTTTTACCACAAAAAAACTGCTTGTTCTTGGGTGATGCACCTGCCGTTAGTGGCGTGTTGATGCTATCCTCCCGAAATATATCTACAGAAAAAAACTGGATCTGTCGGAATCAGCACAAAAGAGAAAACAACAAAGAATACAGTAAAAAGTAAGGAAGAAACATTGTTATGCACCGGGGGGAAGTCGAACCCCGTCTCAATCACACCAATTTTTTTAAATACTAACACCTGGATTGCGTGCACTGTACACTACCGATGCTTTCCCCACCCAATTGAACCCTCAATGTATGCTGAAAAAAAAAAAAAGCTCATGTCCTTCCTATCATCGGTGAGCTTTGATGTCATAATTTATCGAACATGTCTCTCAAAGACAATTCCGCAGATCCCACCTCCAGAATCTGGTGAATGCTGGACAAATTCAAAAAGCCAAAGAATTAAAAAAGAAACTGGATCAAACTGTGTTATGCACCGGCGGGGAGTCGAACCCCGGGCTCAATCCTCCATGGTTATTCTTACCATATGAATGGATTGTGTGTTCCGTACACCACCGGTGCTTTCTCTCCCAATCCAACCCTGCACTTTATGCTGCAAAATACTGGTGTTCCTATGGTCCTATTAAGCACAAATGGCAGGGCAAATAATGATGCCGCTACAAGGGTATAAATATAACCCAATCCTCTGGGAAAGTGCACTGAGGCGTTGGATTTAGTACGTAGATACATGTATAGGTAGCAGAAAAACACAACACACCGCCCAAAAAAAGAATAAGGTATTTTACCAAAAAATGCGTTGCAAAAAGGAATGTGCCGGCCGGGGTTCGAACCCAGGACCCAACCTTGAAGTCTTGATCGATTCACTGAGATGAAGGTTATGTGTTCCCACTACACCACTGGCACATCCTTCATCCTGTACTGATTGGGATAAGTACCATGTCTGAGAGTGAGTACGATGGCTGATTAGTCTCGAGTACCGCTGGCAAATCGGATAACTGCTAGCAAGAAGATATCACTTACAGTAGCAGTCGGAATTAGACAGCGCATCCAAGAAATGACAACGGACCAATATTAAGAACGCATGAAAAATGTATAAAGCACAAAAAAAAATACATAGGCAAAGTATCTCTATGCGCTGTCCTGGGCTCGAACCCGGGACCAACCTCATACGGGTGATTTTTGGAAATATAAGTTGCCGGTTGTGTGTTACCACTACACCAACAGCGCAACAATGTTGCAGCCCCACCTGACTACATAGTCACTTCAGAGATCCTCGTTGCAGTGCCCAAAAACATACCACTGGGACTGAAAATAGGCGATGAAATCAGGAATTTGTCGAGGAAAAAGGAAGCTGCACTGACCATGCGCCGTCCAGGGCTCGAACCCGGGACCCAACCCAAAATTGAATATGACAGAAAACTCAAATAGAGGATGTGTGTTACCGCTAGACCAACGGCGCGATCACTTGTCTCTTCCCTTCATCCCTGCTCACCATGTCACTCGATCCACTTAGCATTAAAAATAACAAAATCAGACATCTCCTCCAAAAAGACGTCTCAGTGACATAATGCGCCGTCCGGGGCTCGAACCCGGGACCAACCTCATACTAACAACTTTGCAGGTTGTGTGTTACCACTACACCAACAGCGCGATGCTATTGCAGCCCCACCTGACCACATACACACTTCACTTCACATCGAGAAAATTCACCACTGAAAATTTAGACAATAAAATCAGGAATTTCTCGAGGAAAAATAAGCTGCACTAACCATGCGCCGTCCGGGGCTCGAACCCGGGACCCAACCGGATATGTGTTCATAGCAGGAGAAATCAAGGTTGTGTGTTACTGCTACACCAACAGCGCGATCGCTTGTCTGATTCCCTTCATCCCTCATCACGATATCACTCGAGAGCTAGAAATGTGGGGGTAAAAATAAGAAAATAAACACCCTCCCCTCCAAAGATATACGCAACATCATATGCGCCATCCGGGGCTCGAACCCGGGACCCAACCAGATAAATTCAAGCAAGGGACCGATTCACAGGTTGTATGTTACCGCTACACCAACGGCGCAATCATTCCTCCCCTTCACTTTGTACTTTATCACCCCCCTTAACACTTGTCATCATCCCCGACTTGATGCAACGTCCTCCCTGCGGCATTTGCGCGGACGGACACGGACGCGGGAGACGCGAGGCATCGGCCATAATGGTATAACCCACTGACATCCACACGTAACCCTTGCCCCGGGGTGACGACAAGTTACTCGGGTGCGCTGGTGTTAATCGATATTCGGGTGCGCTGCTGCGCGACGGCGTTAGCTTATTCATTTATTCACTCGGGACGACACGCGCCTGCCGACACGCTGCTTTAAATTACGCCGAACGCATGCTAAATTAACGGGCCACCGCCCGACGGCGAGCGGCGAGCGGGGAGCGTTCGTGGCTTACACAATGATTCACGGGATGGAACTCATGGAGTTCACTCGGGACCACATGCGCCGACGCTGCTAAATTAATGGCCACCGCCCGACGGCGAGCGGGGTGGCTTACTCATTGATTCGCGTGGATGACGTGCGCCGACACGCGCTGAATTGCGCCGACGGCGACACGCAGCTAAATTAAGCCCACGCGGAGACCGCGCCTAAAGACCGGCGGCGGCGGAACGCGCCAATGCGATGACGCTGACCAAGCAGCGGGGCAGATCTTACGCGCCAATCCAGAAGCCACGACGCGCCAATGACGCGGCGCCATGCCATCAGCCCCCGCAACGCGGTGACACCCAAGGGGAGCCCGTTGCGTTATCCATCAAGATCGACTACCCTGGTGTGTCCGTGGGAACGCTGTCAATCACGGGTCCGGTCCGCATCGGTTAATTAGCTCCGGATACCCGAGTCGCGTCCCAAATAGTACTGATTAGTGTATTTCTGCGCAATTAGCCCGAGTCAACGATTGAATTACACACGAATGTAGTTTATATGATTTAACATTCTATATAGTATACAATTTTGTCTATCTACCCTTCGCCTTTTTAGTTTTATGAGCATCAGTGGATGACACGGTTGATCCAGTTCCAGCCCGGGCACGTCGTCCTGACTGCTCCTCGTTCAAAGTGAACATCATTGCATCGATTGCATCACTATCCGGGATACGTTCCTCCCTTCTGTACTCCTCTGTGATCCTGGCAGTCACTCCAAGTTGACTTTCTTCTTGTTTGCGGATAAATATGTCGACCATCATCTGTTTCGGGATCACTGGTAGTGTTTCGTTGTTATTTGAATGGTCACTAGCAAGATGATAGGAGGCATTGTATTTCCAGAATGTTCGTGGGAGCCCTGTGTTTGATTTCTTGCAGAGGGAGCAGTGCAGTGGGACATTGGTGCATGGAGATCGCTTAGAAGAGGCCTTCGCAGCTTTGTACTGCATCTTCTCATAATGGTACTTGCAACTTGATTTGATTGAGTGTTTGCCTTCTTTGCTAATTTTGAGTTGGGTAACACACCCCTCCCATCCACAAAAGCCACAGGGCTCTGGTCCGACCTTGTTTTGAAGTGGACCTGACTCTTCAACCTGTCGAAGAGAAAGAAGAATGTGCCCTCCCACATGCTCTCTCATTTTGTTCAAAGCCAGTGTTTTATCACATATCAAACATGGAACAGATGTCTTTCCAGGGAGTTTAGGCATTGGAGTCAAGTGTCCAGGAACATTTTGAACAATAAAAGCTTGTTGCCCTTTCGAACATTGAGTTGATATTGATACTCAACTCGATCACGGGCTAAACTTACCATCCGCGTCCAAATATGGCAGGGCTTGTGGGTTGGATATAAAGGGGAGTAATTGCATATTCTCAAGCATCTCTGAACTTTCAGGATCAAGTGAGAGCCACAATGAGTCCATGACTTGTTTCAACTGTTCTGAATCAATTCGCCATGTAGGTCGTTTGTCTGTAGATCCTGGATCAAAGGAAGTTCGTGCTGCCATGGTAGGTCCCAGAGGATGTACCACAACCGATGGCACTTCAAGAATTAATTGGTTGTGAGTCAAACGTGTTGAGGCTGCATCTAAATCAAGCATGATAAATTTCCCGGTCCATTCCCAGAAATTCTCAGGTGGACTTATCACAGATCGAGAGGTACGCGGATTTTCCAGCTCCATCACTTGGGCAACCACTCGGATGTGAGCTTCTGTCTTTTCCAGTTCTTTTGCTTCAATGATAGTTCGGACTGTTTTGTCCTTCCCCACACGGAAACCTTTGATCATTAGAACAGCAAGACAAATTTTGTTGCCAGATTGGAATAGTGTGCCTGCAAGGTCGCCTGCTTTGACCACCTGCTCATCTGAAAGATCTAGCAGATCAAGCTGTGTTGACTTGCGCTTCTGTAAATCCTCAAGTGCAACACCCTGAGCACGGAGAGTGCGCATAGTAACTTTCTTGGTTCGATTTGAGCTCAGTGAAGCAACTACCGAGGATTTCAAAAATCGTTTTCCTCCTGCTTCAATATATTTTGAGGCTGCAGTCGGAAGTGCATCTGTATCTATACCAGAAGTGGTATCAGGGAGAAAGTCATCCAAATCCATGCCAAGTGCATCAGGGGAGCTGGATCGAACAGGATCCAGAAACTGTTCAGGGTCCATGCCATCGTCAGATGGTGCTGTGGGTGCAGAGGCTGTGGCAATGGCAGAGGAGATCGGTACAGATGTAGGGATGGGTACAGACACTGCAGACACTGAACCAGATGTTTCATTTGGTTCAGTTGTCACTGTTGCTGGAAGTGTTCCCTCATTAAACATATGTGCAGGTGACCATGATGTATTCTCTGACTCTGATCGTTTGTCATCTAGGGTCTCTCGAACACCAACATATACACCAAGTGGCCGTTGCATGTCATGATCGACCTGAGAAAAATGTTTCTTGAAGTCTATCTGTGCTCCTTGCCCAAAGTACTTTTTGAAAATTTGATTTGCCTCATCCCTACCACCGAACCATTCTCGATGAAGATCAACATCCCCTACACGGACATTGGCAGTGCAGGATTTGGGGTTGACATGATCGATACCCATTGCACCCTTCAGACTGAGGCGTCGATGTCCACGGTCCAGATCAGGGTTCCGCTGGAAGGCAGCATTTATAAGTGCACTCAGGCTTAGCTTCGATGTTAACTGTTCAATATCAAAATTTCGAGCATGATCCAATGTCCGAGTGTCACAGAAAACAAGCTCGAGGCGATCTGTTCCCTCGTGTAGAATCCAGAATCGCAGATTCGGATTAATTATTTTCATGCGTGCAATGATAAATATAATATTTTTGACAATAGATTGTGAGTCTGCATAAAGAGGTCCTGTGAAGCACGCGGATCCGTGTGTGATTTGTAGGCCTGCTAAAAGGTGGGCATATGTTGACAAAGAGCGAACCTGCTCAGAAAGATCCATATCCATAGAAATAAATGGGCGAACAAAGCAACCAAGAACTTCCGAAAAGAACATAATTGTATTGCGCTGATGTGCCATAGTGGGATTTGTGGGGATCGGGAGATCTCGGAGTTTTTCAAGATGTTGTACCAATGATACTGCTTTCGGAACATTCTGTTTGTCTCCTGGATCTAGGAGTTGGCTGGCCATTTCTTCATCCATCTTGTCAAGGTCACGAAGATGTTGGATGATATCTTCTGGTTTGATATTCATCTCGAAAATCATAATACCCAGAGGATTGCGTAGAAGCGTTCCGAAACCTGAGTTGAACAAATTGAATTTCAGCAGAAAATGGAAGGGGAAAAAACTTACGTTTCCACACATGCTTTGGATCCCCAGTTCCAATGATGTCGCCCACAGTAGATGTCAACAAATTGAGACCATCAAGAGTCCGAAGTTGTTTTCCCAACTCGGAGGCAGAATCAAGTGCTTGAACCATAGTTAATATGTGCTTTGCCAGGCGATAAGCAGCATCACCATCACTGGCTAAAGCCCATATTGGTCCGTGACGAGCCTCTCCATTAGGATTTTCTCTCCAAGCATCAATAAGTGTTTGCATCCACACAGCAAGTTCCTTTCCTTTCTCTGTTTTGTCTGATGGAGACACAACAATGGGTGTGGGGGTGTAATGGTCATCACGACCATAAGGTGCGATTGCAACTACTGTAGCATCACTTCCAAAGCAGACCTTCTCTTCTTCGCTTTCTGGAGAGAACAGAGCAGTCCGTACTTTCTCCACACTCTCAAAGTCTGTGACCTGTGTGTCTACACGATGGGAATGTTCCCTGCAGAGACCTAGAATAGCATTTCTAGTTGGACAGTATCGGCATTTTGTCTCCAGTGCAACACCATCAAACATCACAGCATTACCCACACGCTTATCAGGTGGGTCTGGTTTTATTTCTGGATGCAGCATGGAAGAAATATTGAAATCAATGTCCTCTCTGGTGGGAACTCCAATTGAAGATCGGAGTTTTGGAATCTTTTGATTCTTCATGACTGTAGTTCGAGATGCCAAGCCATGTGATTTCTGAAGAGCATACAGAAGTCGTGGGCCACCAAGAGCCTTGACCAGGAATGAAACATCCAGATCCCGGTCTGTAAACCCTCCTCGAGGCGAAAAGAGACCTGCAATTGCACGTTCAAGTATGGAATAAATTGCTTGAGGACTTGCTCCTCGT